CCTGTGATGTGACCCTGTTCCCCTCACACACACACACACGACGCGTTACTCTGCGCTGCGCAAAACTCCGCATTTGAGCAGTCAATAGCAAATTCTTAAACTAATAACAAAACATACTTACAGTCGCTGATTCAGAAGCGCCAGATTGTCATAGCAAAGTCGGAATTGGCCCTTTTTTTTTTTTTATAAATAGCCTTTGAGCACAGCCAGCCTTGTACTAGGTTCAAAAAACTGTCATCCATAAAATGCGTTGCACAAATTCGAACATCTTTTTAGGTAGGCGTGGTTGACTCTTAACTTTTATAAAGAATATCTCTTTGGATTTGAGACTTTAGTCTTTGCAACTTTACAGATCTTCTTTATGCACCAAGAGCTTGTAACACTCCAAAGAGAAAGGAAAACTTGAAATCGCATCATATGACCCCTTTAATATATTCACAGACTGTGAATACTGGAGAAAATGGAACATTTATGCAAGCTAGATGACCAATATCATTTAAAGACAACGCATTGCTCTATGCACACATATCGACCACACCGCAATGAATGAAAATGTGTTGCCCTGCACCCACAACGTCGCAAGCTTGAGACTGTCTACACTGGACGCGTGAAATCGCTTGTAATGATTGGCAAATACGTTTGTCCTTCGTGTAAGAAACAGCGCGAGCGCTTGAGTACTACTGTACGTCAGAAATATACCGGGGCATCAGTTTACTGTCCGCATCCACTCACTGTACATAGTATTACGGATTATAATGGGTTCTATATTGTCTTTTGTCACGTTGCGCAGCGCCGTTCGCATCCGAGGAAGACACGGATCCAGCGGGGCAGCGCTGCGGGTTTTGCCCGGGAATGAACCCGGGCCGAGAGAGCGGAAGAGTTCCGGAGAACATCTGCGCTGTGTGTCAATGCACCTTACGAGAGAATAAGACCAGCAAGCAAGATAAAAATATGTATACGTTTGTCTGTGTGTTTTTGTCAGATTTTTGCACACCAGTTTAACCTAGTAACATTTACCAGTCAACACGACGGTAACAAACTTTACTATGGTAAACTGCGCTATATCGTTTCAAATGACTTTTGTCAGTTTATTGGATTACCAAATTAAAATTATTTTTAGCGACTAACATCTTATATTAACTTAACTGTGACATTTTTTTCAGGTGTTAGTTAATGTTGGCCAGTAGCCTATTGAGAAAAATAGTGTATGTTAGCTAGGTTAAACTAGTTTTTTGGCTATCTGCCTTTCTAGTTTTAGAATTAATTTGTTATAGTTTTTAATGGAATTTAAGATTTACTGCATTTTTTGTATTTGTGTTTTAAAGGGGTCATATGATGCGATTTCAAGTTTTCCTTTCTCTTTGGAGTGTTACAAGCTGATTGTGCATAGATAAGATCCCTGAAGTTGCAAAGACTAAAGTCTCAAAACCAAAGAGATATACTTTATCAAAGTTAAGACTCTGCCACGCCCCCCTAAAACGGCTCGTTCTAACGTGCCCCCACATATCTACCTTACTATGTGGAAATATTTGCATAATGCCACCCAAATGTGCACGCAAAGAAAGAAGGCGTGGTTTCAGTCTTTAAAAAAGCATCATATGACCCCTTTAAACGCAACTGCAATGAAGCATCAAGAAAGACATGAACAGGCCAGCCACCCTGAGACTGATCATTCATGGTAAGAGAACAACTAGGTTTTGAGAGGTTTGTGAATTCTATATGGGGTTTGCCTTTTAAAAGTGTGCCATTTCTACTTTTTGTTTTTCAGGGAACACATTTCTGTCACTAACAAAGTGGATGGTGAGCAAAGGTGGTG